AGAGAGAATCCCAAGCAGGCTCCACACAAACTGTGAGATCGTGACTGAGCCAAAATCAAGAGCCAGACTCAACTGGCTGGGCCACCCAGGCATCCCTGTCTTCTAGTTTTTAAAGGGGTTTTGTTGTGCATGTCATTTCTTTTCCAGCATCTTGCCCTGACCCTTAATTTTCAACCCGTCTTCTCTTTTTAATATAAATATACAAGGTCATAAGGTTCCCTCTAAGTACCATTGTAGATGCAACTCACATATTTTGATAAATTATATTTTTGTTAGCATTGGGTTCCAAATATCTTCTAATTTTCATTGTGATTTCTCCTTAGAGTCTTGAATTATTTAGAAAACATAGATTTTTTTTTTTTTATGTTTATTTTCGAGAGAGAGAGAGAGAGAGAGACAGAGTGTGAGTGGAGGACGGGTAGAGAGAGAGAGGGAGACACAGAATCCGAAGCAGGCTCCAGGCTCTGAGCTGTCAGTCAGCACAGAGCCCAACGTGGAGCCCAAACCCACAAACTGTGAGATCATGATCTGAGCCAAAGTCAATCGCTTAACCTACTGAGCCCCCCAGGCGCCCCAGATATTTTTAAATTTTAGTAGGTATGGGGAGTTTGGGGGTATATGTTATTGATTTCTAACTTAATGTTATAGTTACAAAATCAGTGTTTAAAAGATTAGTATTTTAAAAATTGACTAAAGTTTGCTTTATGGTCTAGAAAGTGTTCATTTCTCCTTCTTGCTTGGGGTGGCTTAAAAAACTTGAGTTTTCCTTGTCTTTAGATTCTACTATGTCCATTTGATCAGGTTTGTTAATAGTGTATTCGAATCCTATGACCTTGAATCAGCTAGATTTATCAGTTATAGAAACAGGTATGTTGAAATACTCCACTGAGAAGTTGGGAGTTATTTCTTCTGGAGTTTTGCTGTATTATTTTAAAGCTAAGTTATTAGATTAAAAATGTAGAATTAGTTTTTCTTTCTGGCCAATATAACTTTGCACAGTGGTCCTTTTTTTTATTTCTGTGAATATTTGTCTTTTTAAATTCTATTTTGATGGGGCACCTGGGTGGCTCAGTTGGTTAAGCTTCCAACTTCGGCTCAGGTCATGATGTCACAGTTTGTGAGTTCGAGCCCCATGTCGGGCTCTGTGCTGACAGCTCAGAGTCTGGAGCCTGCTTCAGTTCTGCATCTCCCTCTCTCTCTCTGACCCTCCCCTGCTTGTGCTCTGTCTCTGTGTCTCTCTCTCAAAAATAAATAAACATTTAAAAAAAAAAATCTATTTTGGGACGTCTGGGTGGCTCAGTCGGTTAAGCCTCTGACTTTGGTGCAGGTCATGATCTTGTGGTTTGTGAGTTCAAGCCCCACGTTGGGCTCTGTGCTGACAGCTCAGAGCCTGGAGCCTGCTTTGGATTCTGTGTCTCCTTCTCTCTCTGCCCTCCCCTTCTTGTTCTGTCTGTCTCTCTCTCTCTCTCTCTCTCTCTCTCTCTCTCTCTTAAAAATAAACATTGAAAAAAATTTTTTTATTTTATTTCATCAGATATGGGATAACTGCATCTTTTTAAAAATTTTCTTTATTCTGGCTTTGATTCTTTTACACTGCTTTTGCAGCCTTCTGTTGTAGGCGTGTCTTTTGCAAACCGCATATAGTTAGGTTTCTTGTTCATTTTTAGTCCGATCATCTTTACCTTTTAAATGTCCAGCATGGTGGGCACTAGCCACATGTGGCTGTTGGTGACTTAAAAAGTACTATAAAGATGAGATACATAAATGCTGAACATTTTGGATATATTGGGTTAAGTAAAATATATTGTTAAAATTAATTCCACCTGTTTTTATTTTACTATTTTCTTTCAACATTTGTTTATTTTATTTTTGAGAGAGAGAGAGAGCATGAACTGGGGAGGCGCAGAGAGGGAAAGAGAGGTAGAATCCCAGGCAGGCTCCACACCACCAGCACAGAGCCTGACGCGGGGCTTGAACCCAGAAACCGTGAGATCATGACCTGAGCTGAAGTCAGACACCCAACTGACTGAGCCACCCAGGCGCCCCTCCTATAATCAGTTTTGATAATCTCATCAGATGCTCCCCTTTTTATTTTTCTGAATATATTAAGGTCCATATTCTGTATATGGTAATTACAGTATCCTAACATCTCTGCAGGGCAGATCCTGCAGTGTGTGGTCTGCTGACCCACTGAGGCAGCTGCTTTTCTGGTTGAGGTGGCGATTTGTAGTTGTGAGCTCAGTAATGTCTGAGAACTGTGTTTATTTTTTTTTGTCATGTTTAATTTTATTTATTTATTTTGAGAGAGACGGAGAGTGAGCTCGCACACATGGGCACAAGCCAGGGAGGAGCAGAGAGAGAGGGAGAGAGAGAGAATCCCAAGCAGCCTCCGCGCTGTCAGCACAGAGCCTGACAGGGGGCTCGATCTCAGGAATCGTGAGATCATGACCTGAGCTGAAACCAAGAGTCAGACGCTTAACCGACTAGCCACCCAGGCATCCCCTGAAAGATTTAAGATGTTTAAGATGCTGTCATCCTGAGACTCTCTGTCCACCTCTGCTGGTCCTTGGGGCCACCAAGACCTTGGCCTGGAGGTTTCCGGGCCACTCCGTGGTGTGACCTGGCACCAGTGACCCTCGGGCACAGGCTGTGCTGTGTCAACTCCCACGCTGATACTTAAGACACCATATCCTTCAGCTTCTTTTTTCCGTAGTTCTTGGGAGTGAGTTCGGCCACGATTCTCGTGTTGTTTGGCGCTCTCCTGGTTTGTAAGTTTATTTTCATAGGACCTCCTGTGGCCTGAGTTTATTTTCATAGGACCTCCTGTGGCCTGAGTTGTGGGGGGGTGTCCCCATGGGCAGGTTTGCATTGCCTGTGCTGGGCGGGGGGGGGGG